TGGTGAGTTGAGCTCGAAAAACTAGCTATTCGGCTCGGCTCGGCTCAAATCCACCCCTAGACTTAGCTAGTAATGATTTTTTTATGGTCTGGCCTCGCCTGACATGTAAGTTTATGGGCCTGAGCAGTTATATTTCTATCAAGCCCAGCCCAGCATAGACCTGCATCAAGCCCACACACAATGCAGACCAAGCCTTAGGCCCGGATCAACCTGATATAATATTTTACTAAATATACACTTATATAAAGTATGTATGACATATATATGTGGTATTAAATATATATTATTATATACACTTACATACATAATAACCTTTTAAATATGTTTTTTATAATTATGAACATAAAATTAAATTAAAATTTTAGTTTTAATTCATATGGACCAATCCGGGTGTTTGGCCCGGCCTGATTTGAGGCCATGCCCAAACATGTAATATCAGACCCTGGGTGAGGGCTGGACTGGGTCGGAACCGAGCAAACCTTGATACAAATTTTTTTTTTGGTTAATTAGCAATAACTTTCCCCTTTCCCCTTTACCCTCTTTTTTCCCAACGTACTGATTGCGGGATTTGATTCCACGTCAATACTGAAACAACCCAGCTAATACACCAACGAGCGAACCCTCAATTGATAGCCTTAATACAATTGATATCCTAATAAATACCCGGCCCGGCTCGGGCCATGATCGCTCTAGACTTACCCAACTTGCATAGAAACATAATATCAATTAAGCCATTGACTATGAGTTAATCCAACCATCGATATTTAGTATCAACTTCGCAATTAATGCTGTCAATAATTATCATGCATGCACATAGCATAGCAGACGAAGGGATATTTTCTTTATGGGCCACAAATGAGACTAGTAAGAAATACTCTCTCTCTCCTCCCTGTCTCTCTTTCTCTTATGATAAGGGCATGCAGTTTCATGTTCAATGTCTCCCCAAACAAGATGGAAGAAAAATAACCGAGTCAAGTTGACAACCGACACCGGATTTCTTTTTTCTCTCCACAAAGCCGGGCAGCCGGGCTGGAGCCTCTTCATCTGGGGCCAGTGTTTGGATATAATGCCACTCAAAGCATGTTTAGGGCCATATACTCGGGTAACGCTGTACCTGCACATGCACTCTCCTCCACCCCTTGCCCTGTTTTAGGGAAACATGGATGTACTGCGATCTGGATATTGTGGATCTTATGGACCCGATCTATTCTCATTGTGTGATCACTAATGATAGGTATGCAATTTGGGTGGATTGGATCAGGTTGAAGGTTAAACTAAGCTCAACCCAATGTTAAGTTCAAATTTATCAAATTCGAACTAAGGTTTTAAATACGGCCTTTTCTATCTAAGCTGGCAGTGGAATAGGGGGCGGGCAACTGACTGCCACCCTAGATCTAAGGCCGTGGTCAGATGGCCTAAGCCAGTAGTTTTCAGACTGCTGACTTTGACTGTTCTTCTTGTAGTGTTTGGGGCAAATTATAAAATCTCCTTGTCTTATGGGGTCAATGACAATTATCTGTTGAACTTTCATTTGCAATAAAGACCTAAACTTTCATTTTGTAACAAATGCTGCTTACCAACCTAACTTTCCTTATTTTCTTTTCCTCATCCAAATTCTTTTAAACCCTAATTGACCCATAAATATTCAATTTTCTCAAAAGAAAATAAACTAAAATAACAAGAATCATTTTATTGACATAGAAAAACAGGTTTTTTTTTTAATTCTTGTTTATTTCACTAAAATGATTTTTTCTCTTCATCTTAAAATATATAGATTATTCACTCCTTTCTCTGATAAATTAAGAAAAACCAAATGAAGCATTAAATTTATACCTATTAAAAAGAAAACTCTACCATTTCATCTGAATATTGAATCCAGCTAGAAACCTCCAAGATCTATTAGAGCAACTAAGAAGATTTCAATATTATATTTAGAAAACTAATTGAATCGTAAATTGTTTAGATAAATAAGAAAAATGTAGCACAAGGGTTTAAAAAAATTAAACAACTGAATGAGAATCTTTTTCAAAGTTAATTGATGGAACTCTAATAGAATGGGGTATTTATTGCAAAGTGAAAGTTTAGTGGGTCTTTGTCACAAATGAAAGTACAGGGGATATTTGCCATTAACCCCATAGTATAGGGGTCTTTGTACTTTACCTTATATTTTTTGTATAGTCATCTTTTAATATTGTATGCATGTATAAATTTCATTTACAAGTGCACATATACGCATTTACTAGTAACTCTGCATGTGCTTTTGCACGTGGCAAATTTTGATGATGATAGTTTTCCAAATTTTTTTACATTTTTTTTTATGTTTTATGTCTATAAAAATAAATCATATTTTTCATACTTATTTTTGTTCAACATCATAAATATATGACATTAGAGATGTACCCAAATGTTTCCACCGATGTTTTAAAACCGACCTAGAGGCTGACCTCCTTTTGCCTATGGGTTGTAAGTCATTAGTTTGATAAGCATGTATTTTACCATTAAAAAATGTATAATTATTTTTTAGATGTAATATATGTATATCTAAATATTATTCTATGTTTAACTTATATTCATTCATTCAAATTTTAACTTTTTATTTGTAAAAATGTTAAAAATTGTAATTCAATGTCCAAAAGGGTTTTTTTTTTTTGAAAAAAAAATAGCGAGGCAAGGTGCCTTTGGTCCCTTGGGACACATAGGTCTAGAAAAGCTACCCAAAATAAAAAAAAAACACCCCAATCAAACATTGGAGTGCAAAGTTATGGCCTCTAGAAGTTTGCACATACATTAATTATGCAACCTACAACCTAGTCACCGGGTCGAATGGTTTAGTGATTGAACCACCCAGGTCAAACAAATTTTTACTAGGTAAACATTTTTGCCAACACAAGGGTTTCAACAGAACTGGACTTGAAATCAAGGCCAAGTGATAATTCGTTTAGCTCAGTTGACTAGGTTAATAACAAGTTGAAACATTGGTTTTCACCTTTTTTTTTGTATTTTTTATACTTGTGCATGTTTTCATCTTTTTAATTATTATTATTATTATTTAATTATAACATAAAGGGTTGACACATTTGACCCAAAAAGGTTGAATTGTTGACTCACCCCCAAATAAGAAAACAACTCCATTATTGGGTTGGTTTTAAGTTTGTATTTTATTTATATCATCAATAAAAATAATTATTCTTTGTAACACCTATTTTTCTTTAATATGATTAATTATTATAGAATTCATTGAACGAATGGAGTTAATACCTTAAATATAAGACTTAATGAGAGAAATCTAGTAATTCAATTTATATTTTATGCTCTCACAATTAGAGAGGGACCAAATTCAAAAATATGAATCACTAAATGTTAATGGAAGTTAATATCTTAAAACAATACTTCATGAGAGGAATTCAAATGAGGAATAAAGTGATTATTCAAATTACATTTTTGTCCTTACCATTAGAGAGGGATCAAATTAAAAAATTGGAGTATTTCAATCAAATAGAAAATTAGGGTATTTATATTTATTATACCTGTTCATGGGCCAGATAGCTTGATGGCCCGATATGACTGCGATCGGGCTTGGACATATTATTAGGCCCATGGGCCCGGGCTTAGGCTCGAGCCCTATTATCTAAGCCTAACTTAATTTCAGGCTGGGCTTGGGATTTTACAAAAAAGCCTGGCCCAACCCAACAATAATTTAAATACTAACATATATATATATATAATATAATAATATATATTTTTTCTAACCCTTATTCATTTAAATTGACAGCCTTTCACTCTTCCTCATCCTTGTTTTGTTCGAACGAATTGAAACTTCTTCCCTTTCATAGTAGCGACTGGCGGTAGTTTATCTATCTTCTATACTACAAGCAGCGAGCTGGTGACGATATCTCTCCAAGCTCCGACTCCGAGTACTTAGTGGCCTCCCGTCGTCCCCATTTCTTCGAGCTTTGAGTCCAGACTCTAGAGTCCAAAGTAGCAACGTCCCCAATAGTGGTTGACGACATCTACAACGGCAAGCCAACTAACCAACTCTGAGCTCTGACTCAAAGTACTCAACAACGTCTCCATTTCTTCGAGCTCTGGATCTAGACTCCAAAGTAGCAGTGTCCCCAACACTCCCCAACAATGGTCGTCGACATCTACAATGGCAAGCCAACAAGCAACAACCAGTGAACTCTATTTCCGAGCTCTCCCTCCCTCTCTCTCTCTCTCTCTAGTTCATCGACTACCGACCCTTCCTGTGACAAATCAACAATCTCTGGATTAGAAATGTAACTTTCTTGAATCATCTATCGAACTTCGGGCATTGGGCTTAGCCCTTGGACTTATGATTTAGGCCTGATGGTTAGTTCGGGTTCAGCCTCGGGCCTCAATATATTGCACTTGTAACAAGTGAAAGCCCAACCCGACCCATCAACATATCTAATTTTATATAAATATAATACATATGTATGTATTTATTCGAATCGACTCAGGTTAAATTGGGTTGAAGTTGGGCTGGGTCACGCTTGGGTCGGGTTTAGGGTACCCGATACTTCAATCCAAGTTTAAGCCATGCTTAAGTTTTCTGACCCGGTCCAAATATGTGGCTTGCCAAGTTGCACCCTAACCAATTACTAATGATGATATCCATAACGGAATTTGAAGGATTGACAAGGTTCTATTCGGTTGGCACGTAACTGGGGAACATCTCTTGTATTTATGTATTATTATTCATCGGAGATATTTCCAATACACGGGTTGATGTGTCTGTGAGGTCGATAGGAGGTGCGCTGTGTGTGAGGAGCATATCCCTATTCGTTCTACGAACATTTGGTGGTCTGCTGGTTTTATTTTTTCACTAGCCGAGAAAATGGTTTCTCGCGATAAGAAGAAAAATATCCATTCTTTGGCGGTCAGACAGAATGCTAAATCGAGTTTCCGACTTTCGACCTTAATTTTCTATTTTGTAATGAAAAAGTAAGAAAAGAAATCAAATGAAATTGTTATTTTCCCATTTTTTTTTCCTGTTTGGGTCGCTGTGTTTGGGTTTACACGGGTACCATCTTCCTTGCAGCATTGCTACCTTCTGAAGATTTTGCCGTGATTCACTGATTCTGAAACCTTTTGTTTTTTACTTTCAGTAATCTCACTCTGGCCCATGCATATCGGAAAATTTCGGATAGCGTCGCAAAGAGATCCGGAACCCCGAAGATTCTTTCAGGGCCAAGAGGCGGATCGTTAAATGTGGTCTTTCTTTACTCTCATTTACTTGGAAGTTGGAAAATATCGAAAACCCATATCGCGTTTATTGGTAAAGTGCTCTCTTGACTCATTTGGAGTAGAGATTTTGGTGTTCACAGTTTGAGATCTTGGATTTTCAAGTGATACCTCGTTGATTCGGGGTTTAAACTGTTTAACTTTTGGTGCTCTTTTTGCAGGCGGCTTTGTGATTTCACTGGCTATGTTTTAGATGGTTTTGCTGCTTTAGTTTGAAGTTCCTTTGTTTACCGCAGAGGCGCAGATTACAGCAGATCAGGTACTTCAACGCTTTTACAATCCTTGTTGGGTTGCTTGATTCAAAATTGAAGTTGCTCTGCGATCTGGGTTCCGACTTCCGAGTAGTTGTGTTTGAGTGATGTTGTGGCGTAGAGAAAGCACGGAACTGATGAAAATTCCAGGTGGTGGGTTGGAATATATTTTGTTCGGTTCAAGTGTTTTTCGGAGTAGAATGGTTTCTGGGTATTGAGTACGAAGAGAACGTCTTAGTAAGTGCGATCTATATTCTTGCTTTCCTTCTTGAAATAAGATATTGAATTCGGAATGCTGGTTCCCTTCTGATTTGAGTTTATGATGCCAACGGGACAACGCTTTATTCTTTTGGGGTCTTCTCTGTAATGTAGTGTTTGAGTTGGGTTACTTTGGATTGCAGACGATCGGTAACATATAGCTGATTATATGCTCGAACAAAAGACTTGCGTGTCTGGACTAGGTTCCATTGTCGTTGGTCTGATAGGTAGTTCTTGTGGAACTGTGAATTGAAATGCATCAAGGCAGATTTGCAAGATGAGACTGGTATTTGCTTTTGAAAATTTTTAGTTCTTCTTGACTGGTCGAATAGCTTTGTTAAGTAACTGGAGGTCAAGTCTATATAATTTGAAGGATATCCAGTTGATTGGGGAAATGGCTTCAATTAGAAGAACTTTGTCTCCGGTGCCACGAGCTGGAGCTATGCAGAATGGGGAGGCACATCTGGTTGCTTCTCCCTTGTCAAAGTCATCCTCTTGTTCTCTGAACCATGCACCATCGGGCGGATTATCATCATCGTTGCTTGGTTTGGTGGATTCCCATTCATCTTTGTATAGAATCCATTCTGTTGTGCTTGGCTTTTTCTCACACAGATCTTCTCGGCCCTTGGAAAGGTCAAAATCTAAGGGGCAATCCTGGAGACGGGCATTCCTCCATTTCTTCATTTGCTTTATGGTCGGGATTTTCATTGGTTTTACCCCTTTTGTCTCGATGAGTTTCTCCATAAATCTCGTATCCAAACACCAAGCCTTTTCCTTTGAGCTGATTCCCCCAGCTAGAAATGTACAACTATATGATGGCACTTCCAGGAATGAAGGATCATTAATTGAAATTCCCCCAGTAAAGGACAATAGCAGCATGGGGACAGAGCTGAAGGGGGAGGACATGTTAAATGGGATTTCTGATAATAGCTCTGTTACTGACTTATCCTTTCTAGAATCAGATTTTGTGCATCGAAAGCTTTTGATAGTTGTGACTCCAACACAGACTTCTCCATTTCAAGCCTATTATTTGAATCGTCTGGCTCACACATTAAGATTGGTCCCTCCGCCTATGCTGTGGATAGTCGTGGAGATGTCAGCCCAATCTACTGAAACAGCTGATATCTTGAGGAGAATGGGAGTTATGTACAGACATCTTGTCTGTGATAAGAACCTCACTAGTATAAGAGATAGAAGAGTGCACCAAAGAAATGTAGCATTATCTCACATTGAAACACACCGCCTTGATGGAATCGTATACTTTGCAGATTATTATAACATGTATTCTGTTGATCTTTTTGCACAACTGAGGGAGATCAGGTACTTAATTTTCCAAGATCTTATATCTGTCTCCTACCTTCTGTTAATTATTTCTTTTTCAATTTAATTTTGATGCTTCAAGTTCTTCTGAATATCAAGAATTAAGACCACACAACATTAAACATGAAAGCATGATGATGGGACAAATGCAGACCAATTACATATTAGGCATTCTTTAATCATGCCTTGGTTGTTATATGCTACTTTTCATGTAATAAGTACTTTATGGCGTGCATTGGTGTCTGACACTCATATGAAGTGCATGGGGCCGAAATTGACCTAGAAATGACTATAAGCTGATGTCTCATTTCATATAATAACGAGGTTTATTCCTGAAATGCTCTGGTCATTTATTTCTGCAATATAATGCATGTAAACAATTAATTGGAAGGTATTTGATAATATGATTAATATATGGTTCCATGTATGCATGATAAATTAGGTTTTCCCTAAATGAGACTGCCAATATTTGTCTTATGCATGAGCTGCCTGATTTCAAATGGTTCTCCTTGTTACGCCACCACTATGTTCATTTTTTTTTTGACAAATAAATAAATGAACATCCTCCCGATCACTACAAAAAATGACCTAACTTTAGTTCTCTAAGCTCCCTTAGGCTTTAAGTTTTCTGCTCATCCATAGTGTGTTGCCGCTTTTTATCTTGCTAATCACTTGCTCCATCATGCATCTCCTGCTTTCAAAGAGCCTTTGTTTATCTTCCTTCCAGTCTCCAACACAATCCAAAAGCAATGAGAATCAATAATGCTTTGCCTCTTCTGACTGCTAGATGGCCATCTCCAAATTAGCATGAGGATGTCTAAAGGAATCACCCAATGACAGCCAAGTAGTCTCATGGAATGCCTCCATTCCATATATACATTTCCTATTTATGGATACAATTATATTCAAATTTTTCTATTTCTTAGTTGAATGGGAGATCAGCCTAAACAGTCATTGTATAACAAAGCAACAAATTGTTTTTATGCTTTGTTTTTATTATCATCTAGTCATCTGTAAGTGTGTTGTAGCATGTGCAATAAACCAAAATGAGCAAAGCATACATAATTTGGTAAATAGATAACTAATATACCTGATGTTTGGGGAGATAGAAAGTGTGTTATTATATATAGTGGGGGTGTAGCTGGAAATGAAAAGGAAATAAACAAACATATGAGAAGGGGGGGGGGAGATACTAAAAGTAGATGGAGCACATAAAGAGGAGGAGTTTTTTGGTAGGAGATATCGTTGTGCAAAGGAATGACAATGACAACAAGGAAGTTAACAAAATAAAGAGTAGAAATTAGAATGAGATAAAAAAGTGATGGCAATATTAAAAATGGGAAAGTAGGAGTTGACTAGAAGGTTTGAACTCTAGTTTTTGTACATAGGTAATACACCAGAAATTTACATATCAATATATTATTTTTAATTAAGTATTCTCCATATAAACATAACTTATTTGAGCTATTTAATCTTATCTTCAAACATTAAAGGCCATTACCTAATGTTGGTCCCAGCTATCTGGGGCCTTGGTAGGGGTGGATTCAGTGATTTAAAAGCGCAAGGCGCAAAAAAAGCGCAAGGGTCAATTTGCGCTTGAGGCGCAAGGCGCAAGGCGAGGTGCACACCTTTTTAAGAAAGGCACAAAATTACAAAAAAAGCTAAAAAAATAAAAAAGTCAGAAAATTCAAAAAAATGCAAAAAATTCAGAAAATATTAAACATAATGTTAATAAAAAAATATGAACTTAAATTTTAAAATAAATTTTTTAGAAAACCTATTATCTAAAATTAAAATACATAAACATAACATGTAAAGCGTATTCAAATGAAAATTTAAAAATAAAAGCAAACATATAAAGCATTTTCAAGCATGTAAAACACACAATCTCTTTTTCTCCTTAATTGCATTGCTTCAAGTAGCTAATGTGATGTAAAACATATTGCATTCTTGATTCTATGAGTCGCCTTTGTACCACGCCCCTCGAGGCAAGCCCGAACAAGTCTATGTTAGGGTCTGAAATTCTTATTTCTCATATAAAAAAATGATTTTATAACTTTCATTGCCTTTTAAGAAGATATTTTATTGCAATGAATGAATGAACAACATTAGCAAATAGGACTGAGGCGCAAGGCGCATCAGGCGCACGCCTAGGCGCACCCTGGTGTGCCTAGGACCTGGGCGAGGCACATACCCCAAAATGCGCCTCGCCTGTGCGCGCACCTTTTAAATCACTGGGTGGATTGGATACAGTCCTAACCTTTAGAAAATTTTCACACAAAGTGGCTGCTCTCAGACTCAAACCTGTTTTCTCACACTTGAGAGCCTAAGATTTTACCATTGCACCAAGTAATCTTTTCTTCAAACATTATGAGGTAAAAATTGTCTTTGTAGTTCTAGAAATATACCCCTTTGTCTGCTAGCTACTTGAATTTGTTTACTAGCTACTTGAAGTAATGCAACTAGGAGTTAGACAAACATATGAGAGTTTGACATGCTTGAATTGTTGAGTTCTTGAAGCACTTAGGTATGGCCCACAACTCTCCATTTTTTATTTCACTTTCACTTTGAACTTGTTTTATATGCTATACTTATATATATGTTGATGTAAACTAATAAGCTTTTGAAAATATTTAATTTCTTTTAAAATTCAGATTTCCATTTTTATGAGTAATGTTTATTTATTATTTATTTTTTTTCCAAAAATTTGCATCTTATTTTGGCCGGGTGTGCGCCTCTTGGGCACTAGAAGGCCCTTGTGCTTTTCTCGTGTCTCTTGCCTTTAAGCACTGATTACATACTTGCCTAAGTCAAGTTCGCTATTTCCACTGATCAAAGATAGAAGGTTCATTTCATTCTTGGGTTTTCCAGTTTCTTTTTATGAACATGTGATATTTGAATAGCATTTCTGGTATCTTCAGTATTTGATTGCCTGAATGGGGCATCTGTAGGAAGCCTTACACATGGTATCATTTATTGGAGGTCTTTGATTCCAAAATGCTCCTGGCCCTGGGTCAGGTGATAATAGCAGTCTGCCCTAGTCTTGCTCCTTTTTTTTTTTTTTTTAGTAAAAGAAAAGAGAATTTATTCAAAGAAAAAGAAGCTGATTACAACCACCAATAAGGTGCTAAGATAATACCTTTACCCAATAACTAACAGGGAACTAACAACACAAAAGGAAAAAACACTCTCAACGGTCTTCCTATTTGTAATCAGCACCTCTCCACTGCTTTCTCAACTCTGTTTTTCACAAAAGAAACATGCCCCCTCCCCTTCCAAATAACACCACTAATCCTCCCCATCAAGCACTTCTTTCTGCCCTGCAGCTTCCTCATTCCATGCCTCTCCTCCTTCCCTTACTATAGCTTTCTTCAGCCTCTCTTCTTTCTTCCTCCTCCCTTTGAACTCTTCAAAGGCTCTTCTTTCTGTCCTAGTCTTGCTTTTGGGTGATTCATTACATTTCTTTGGGTCGAGGATCTGCTTCTACTAAATCAATTTTCACAGTTCATATCTATTACCTTTATCTTTAAGGTTATTTTCGAGCTGATTAATAGGATATAATTGATTCAGAGAAATGTTATAGAGGATAAAGGGCCATATTATCCACTAAAAAGGGTCTTTAAATCCAATGGCTTGGACTTGAACAAGCCATCTCCATAATGAATCCACAATTAAGGGATCTTATGATATCTGATGATGTTGCCTGAAAGCCTAGGCAAGTATATATACCTGCCTGGATCCTAGGCAATTGGCCAACAACTAGGCACTCCTAGTTATGATGATTGCTTGGTTACTGATGCAGACATGAATAACTAATTTAATAAGCTGCATATTGTATATTCTAGACTAAGATGAACACATTTGTATATTCTAAAATGTGTATTGTATATATTCTATACCAAAATAGGGTACTATATACATATGTGTTTGTCTGTTTATAAGGGGTGGTTTTACTAGTTGAGTCTTCTAGAGAAGAATGCTGAATGACCAAGGAATCTAACATGTGGCAAGTTGGTATGGGGTCCAAAAAGTCCCATATGTTCCTCTTTCTATCCCCCATTGACGGGGCAAATTTGAACTCAAAAGACCTTCCACGTTGTTGGATTTTAGCAAAATTTAATCAAAATATTAGAACTTTCAATGGCAATATTACTTGTGGAAGAAACTAATACAAAGTAGACCACAGGCTGCTTTGGCCTGAAGATTGCACAGGTGGCCAATTCAGATAATCTCTATATGGACAGTTCAAATCTGTCACATCATCCCTTCACATGGCAGAAATAGGTAGGTTGTGTAATGTGTAGAGAAGCTCCATACTTGAACCAATTTGGAAACTTTCCTAATTGGGTCAAGTAGGGAGTTTCCTTACACAACCCCCACTTTGCCACATGGAGAGATTCTCTGGATGATCCAGACTGTCAATCTGATAGGGACCCACTGAAGGGTTCACCTTTTGTCAAGGCATCGCCTAGGCAACTAGGTTGCCCAAACGTCTTGATTTATAGCAACTAGGCACCTGCCTAGTCGACAAAAATGACAAGGTGGGGTGCCTTATATAATATCATTTATATTGCTGCATCTTATTAATATGCGTGTTAATACATAACATTTTATTATATGCTTATATATCATTTATACTTTGTTTTAATGTTTTACTATTGAAATTTAAAAGATCAAAGGGTTTTGAGGATAGAAAAAGAAAGAAAGAAAAAAGCAAGAAGGAAAGAAAGAATAGAAGTATAGATGGATTCCTTTTATTTTTCTTTTTCTTCTTCTTCTTCTTCTTCTTCTTCTTCTTCTTCTTCTTCTTCTCCTCTCTCTCTCTCTCCAAAAAATAAAACAGAGATTCCATCCTTGTTTTTTTCTATTTACTTTCCATCTTGAATACTTATCATATAAAGTTAATGACCTTCTTTAGCTGGTAATGGATATGAATTGCTCTATTAAATACTTATTGTGGTATTATTTTTGAAAATAATGAAATTAATATATGCAAAAGATTTCTATATTTAGATGTGATGATTTGCTACATTTGTAGAGGAAAACTAGTGTTTTTAATAAAGAGAATTGCTATTTTTTCAATTAATATACATGCTGAGTGGTATATAAAACTAGGGAACTAGCCAAAAGTTAGTTCTTTATATTATAAAATTCTTATCACATAGGTGCCCCAGTGTTGCCCATAATCGCGTAGACGCCTTGAAAACTATGGTATGATATCAGCCCTACATACAAGTAATACAACATTGTATTGGAGTTTTGCCTAATTAATAATAGTCACCCACACTTATCATTTTTAATATAAAACTGGTCCATAAAAAAGAGGTCTTATTTTTCAATGATGTGGAGAGGGGAATATGGAAACTCCTTTCAAGATCAAATTTAAGTTGCCACATGGAAGATTACTGTGTCATTTAGAGAAGCTCACTGAATAGATAGATAGATAGGTAGAAACTCAACAAGAGGCTTATTGCTTCTTTAAGGAATAGGAGAATTTTTGACAATCTAGAGAGGCCCTTGGTGCATCTATATGCAGATGTAAGCCACTTATCTTGATGGATCAGGTTTTATCTGTTATTTCAAGTACTTCCAAGCATGGATGTTTTGTTTTTAGATTTTTGAAGTCAAACATTAATAACCTTCTTTTTTTGAGAAAAGTTAACTGAATTCATTGAAGAAAGAGATGGGTATGTGTGCTGTATCTATTGTTTAATAAATATGTTCCCTAGTTAAGTTTGCAAAGCCTAGATAAGTAAATAGATGTGTCTTCTAGGTGATTGTAATTGTCTATGTCACTTCTATGATTTATTTAGATGCTTGTGGAAATCTGTTAAGTGGTATAGCCTTCTTTTTGTCCTTTTTAGACATGCTGCCCCTAGCAGTATGGGAAAGTTTTGGGAAGATATCATGGTTCAAAGAATAGCTCTATTCGTCCTTCTTTGAACTTCTGATTCATTTGAGGGAAAATAGAGGTGGCAGTGTTTTTCTTCCCTTCTTTTATTGTTAGATGATGCTTTCATCTGCCTTTTGCATCATGATAGCATGGTGTGGTCCGTTGTATCGAATTGGAGCCTTTTCTCTATCTCATTTTGGCCTTTTTGCTTGGATTAATTCCTGAATGTGAATGGTTAATACCTCCAAAAGTCAAATCTTTTCATTAGGAAATGATTTACAAGAAACTCAATACTGGTGAGGTATTGCATTCTAGGGGAAACTGTTAAAAAACTTTTCCCCATATTTGTTTTATATACAAATGCAGAATCAATGGATCATCTATTTTCCATTTCTTTGTTGCAGTCAATTATTGGATTCCTATACTTATTTAGGATTCTGATATTTTTAACCATGACCACCATTTTACTCTTGTAGACGTTTTGGGACATGGCCAGTAGCCTTGCTCATGCAAAGCAAAAACAAAGCATTGTTAGAGGGTCCTGTTTGTAATGGTAGCCAAATTATTGGATGGCATACAAATGATCGGAGTAGGAGATTCCAGAGATTTTATGCTGATATGTCAGGGTTTGCCTTCAATAGTACCATACTCTGGGACCCTAAGAGATGGCACAGGCCTACTCTGGAACCCATTAGGCAGCTTGACACAGTCAAGGGAGGATCCCCTGTGAGTTTTCTTCTCTCCTTAAAGATCATCAATTGAAAGATCTGGTGAAATTCTGTGGTTTGTTCTAAAATCAATAGAATTAAGTCTTGGATTGGGATTTGCAGGAGAGCACCTTTATTGAACAAGTTGTTGAGGATGAAAGCCAAATGGAAGGCTTACTTTTGAACTGCTCAAGAATCATGGTGTGGCATCTTCATCTGGAAGCTTCCCACCCATTCTATCCTCATGGATGGCTCACAAAGAAAAATCTAGATGCTGTTGTACCACTTTCATAAAATTCTTACCATTGCAAGGAGTACATGTTGAAGGATGAAGGTAAGCTCTATCAGAATTTTGAGATTTCTCTCAGCACTTAAACCTATTTTGCTCCTGTCTATAATTAAGGTTACTGATTTCATGTTAAACATTTTCATGTTGTAGGAAAGATTGATTGAAAATAGAACTTTTCAAGCTATTCCTTTACTCGCCTCAATTTCGAAATGTTAAAGATAGCTCAGATTTGTTTGTGCTGATTTCAGTCTATTGCTGGGCGTGGAGAAGAGATTCCTGGTGGATTTAATTTTGCCCCAGTTACATTCAATTAATTTTAGCATTTTCTTTTTTTTTTTCAAGAGTAAACATTGTTTTTGTACAGTTATTCGAGTTTGTTTTCTACCAATCTGTCTCAGTTGCTCGGAAAGAGACAAAGTTGTATCCTACTAGTTAGGAAGGGATGGTCAAGTTGAAAACTGTCATCCTGGATGGGAGATGCAAGAGCTTTAGTGATAACTTTTCCTTTTTTGCTACTTTGAGATGACACGATTTGGAAGAATCTAGGGGACCGATCCAAAAGAAAGTGTAATTTTGCTGCTCAATTATGCCTTCTGTAGAAGCCAACAATTTCTCATTTTAAATGTGCTCGGTTGGCTGGATTTTTGGCTCCTTGCCGTCCAATTATGTATAACTGTCCTGATTCGATGAACTAGTAGAGGTGGAAATTTGTAGCCGAGAATGTTGCTAATATATGGTTGATGACAATTTGGTAAACTCGATTATTTATATTATATCAGATGGTTGATCTCTTTAGGTTTGTAATTTTGCAACTAGCATACTACCCAACAGCTTAGTGACCCGCCCTCATTGGAGTGGGTTGCTTGAACGTTTTGTCTTGAAATATTACTCAATAGGACGGAAAGCAAATAGCCAAATAGGATAAAGGGAAAATTAAGAAATGTACTCTCTCTCTCTCTCTCTCTGATTTCAGGGTTAGCTACACTTTCTCCCTTAACCCTAAAAGAAAATGGAAATTGCCAAAGAAAAAAAAAGACAGATTAGCTTCAAATGATGTTTTCCTAAGCAAAAGTGTTTTTTTTTTGTGGCTAATGCTTATTTTTAGAGCAGTTCTATGGTATAGAGACATGCTTTGCAGAATTGCCGGTGTTTTCAATCTGCTATTTGATTCAGCTGGTTGAATTGCTTTAACCGTTACTTGGCCCAGATTTCAGGTTCAGTTTGAATAAAACCCAGAGAGGTAACAAATGTCTGGCCCGGATGATTGGACTGTTGATCCGTTCAACCCGGTGATCGGGTCACGGGTTGCATCCAAAATATGTTTGTAAACTTCTAGAAGTCATAACATTGCACTCTGAGGTTTGATTGGGGTGAATCTTTTTTATTTTGGGTAACTTTTCAAGATTTGTATTTGAAGGCGCTGTAGGCACTTGTCTCACTATTTTTGCCAAAAAACCCATTTTTGGCCTCAAGTTGTAATTTTTAATTTTTTATAAATAAAAAATTAAAAATTGAATTAAAAATATAAATTAAATATAAAATAACACATAAATTAGGAGTTCACATCTGCACCCCACAACGTCCTACAATACATCCCCACCATGTATTGAGAATATCTCCCAATGATAATACCAGAAATGATGATGTCATCATCGAGAGATATTTTCAATACATGACGGGGATGTGCTGTGGGACGTTGTGGGGCACAGATCTGAACTCATATATTAGATGTAGAAGATAATTATATATTATTTATTGATAAAATACATATTTATACATATCTATATCTATCTATCTATATATATTTATATAACATTGAGAATTGCAGTACTGATAAATAGAAATATGCAATAAGCACTATAAGGCTTATGATACAGCTGTTTGCGTAACTAAAAAAAATCATGTGTGAGGTTGCTTGTAAAACATCAAATCGACATTTCTTTCTAAGGGTTCTAATCATTCTAGGCATTTCTAGCTGAAAGTACTCTCATATGTGATTTGATTTGACAAGACAACACATATCTATCTCTCACCATTTCGCTTTCAGCGATCCAAAACATTTGAGATAAAAACAGCAATGCTAACAAAGGACAACCTTGCTAACAATGGGGACATAATCAAATTGGGTCTCTTGTGTTCTCTAATTGGTTTAGGACTGGGTTTACCGTTTACCTTGACCAGGACAGACTCATGCATTAACAGGCCCATTGTAGACTCCTGTTACAATGTGAGCTGCAGATGTTTGATGCATCCTATAAAACTTTCCCAACTTTTTTCGGAGTCCAAGCTATTCCAGAAGGATATCCTTCTCTTTACTTGTCCGCAAGGAAAACTCTCAAGAATCTCAACATTTTATTGCACACTACAAATGACTGTTGTCCTATTGGAATAGTATCCGAAATACAAAGTTAATTCTACTTTTTCGGATTAAAATATTCATATGATATTCATGTGGATGCATCTAAATGCACATGAATACAAAAAATATTTTAAAACATTTAAAACATTAAAAATACTTGATTGGAACTGTGTAAAATAAAAAGTAAGTATCAACCATATCGATGCTTCTATTACTTGCATATGAAATTAGTGCTTCCCATTAAAATGGGTGATTTACTGCATTATTGATGATTTTGTCATCAATGGGTATATACATAATACATACATTTACATGTTTATTATTCCATTTAATTGACAGGGTTATTTTGGTGATTTAACCCATGGAATGAGTGCAAACCACTCCATTCTCCTATTCCTATGTTGAACTCAAATTTTTCATCAAATACCCTCACTGGTATCCATCCCATCTCCCGTTACATCTCCAATTCTCCATGAAGGGATGATACCCAATTTAGACCTCCTCCTACTCGCTTTTTTCCATGGCTCATTCATCTCCTGCATCCTTCTTCTCATCACCTCCTTCACCTTGATCCTCCTCTTGCTTGCCATCTCTGTCACACTCTTCCTTCTTTTGTTCATCGATGCCTACGACGTCCTCTCCTTGGTTTCCTGGTCATTCGAAACCCTGAGAGCTAATCTTGAACTGGGCTTCATTTTGGCTATTTGCTCGCTGCTACGCTTGCTCATTGATGCTGCTCTGGCTTTAAAACCTCCTTCCTTTCAACGCAGAGTTTCAGAGCTTAAAATGAGGTTATTTTAGTTATTTAACGAAAAGAGTAGGGCTATTATCGTCACGTAAGAACATTATTTTCTTGGTCTTATTTTTTTTTTATTAATAAAAGGAAAATCTTTATGTTGCATAGAGGCTAGAGTTTTATCTGATTCTCTCTCTGCTCTCAGGTCTGTATTCTCCTCATCTGTTCATGGCGTCTTCGTCTCTCCGCTCAAACCTCTGCAGCTTCGCTGCTGCCTCTTATTCTTCGAGGAAACAGAGCTCCAACCAGGCCGTTGTAATTCGATGTGGGCCACGAGACAACCGTGGGCCGATTGTAAAAGGCCGAGTACTGAGCACGGAAGCAATCCATGCCGTTCAAGCCCTGAAACGAGCCCAAAGAGCAGACGAAGCCAAGGTCGACGAACTCGTCTCCAGAGCCTTATCCCGTCTGATCAAGGCCGACCTCCTCGCTTCCCTCGGCGAGCTTCTGAGACAAGACCAGTGCCATCTCGCCCTCAAGGTATTCTCGGCCGTACGATCGGAATTGTGGTACAAGACCGACTGCTCTCTCTACGCCGATGTGGTGGCAGCGCTAGCGAGGAATGGCATGTCGGAGGAGATAGACCGTCTGATATCTGAGATGGAGGAAGAAGGGTTGGGGGGTAGCGATGGCCGAGGGTTGTCTCGGCTCATCAAGGCGTTGGTTGCAGCGGAACGGGTGGAATCGACGGTGGGGATTTATCGGTTGATGAAGAGAGCCGGGTGGGGAAGTTCGCCTACGGCTGACGAGTATGTGGTGAAGGTTTTGAGCAGAGGGATGAGGAGGTTGGGAAAGAGGGATGTCGCTGATGAGCTTGATTCGGCATTCGATAATTTGTGGGAGGGCAATTTAGAAAAATCGAGTATTATAATTAATGACTAGAGTAGTGCTGGATTTGTTTATTTTATTTTCTTCCATTTTTCTTCATTTAAAATGTTCAATAGTTATGGGACAGGGTCTCTTCTGCACCCAAAGGCAAAGGGCCATAGGATATCTTTGGTTTCATAGAAAATAGTAGAGAACATGGTGTTATTTATGAAGATTCATGTGTGGATTTTGATTGATCAAAACTCTTTTTATATATCGTAGATCTTCCCGTTATAAAAACCTCCTCTTTTTTATTTTCTGACAATCACAAAAATCTTTATTGACGGAAAATGTTAAATCGCTATTTTTTTTTCAAAATACCTATTTTACCCTTTTATGAGTTAATATACATTTATTTTTATTAAAATACCCCTTTCTATATATTATACTCTTTGTCCTCTCTTTTTATCCCAGTTTCAGTTTTTTACTATCAGTAGGAAGGAGTGCCTAACAGAGCAGCAGGGTTAAACTTTTTTTTTTTTTTTTATAGATAGCAAGGATAGACTTGCAAGCACATTTCCCCTTCCTACTCAGGTTTCAGCACCACAAGAGCTCTTTAACTGAAATTGGCATGACCTAACAAGTAACAACAGATCTTTGTAGATTTCATGAAGTGCCACCAGATTTGAGAAGAAACCGAGCAGTGAATGCGCAGATGGTCAACAGATTCCATCACCTGCCTACACAAGCTGTAGTTCAGATCCTGAATTTGCACATCCCTCATAAGAAAATTCTCCTTGGTCAAACACTTATCCAGCGCCATGGCCCAGACTAGGAAATTGACCTTCAACTAACTGACAGGGTTCCAGATTTGCTTGGTGGGAAGGCAATCCTGACTGCCATCACTCAGCCTGGATGCTAGAGACTTCACAGAGAAAAGACCACCCGCACTCCACCTCCACCTCCACCTCCATTCGTCTTCCTAGCTAACATCAACAGCCAACCTTTAGCAGATGAAGCAGATCCGACACCCAATCCAATTCCCAATCTTGGAAATTCCTTCTAAACCTTGGGGCCTAGACTACATTACCCCCTACGAAAGCCATCTTACCAAGCAAACCTACACTCAACCTTGCAGCTTTTGTCTCAATGGTTGACTCTACAACCCAATAATTCTACATCCAATATTCCAATGTGTCAACTATAGAACGTAGTCACAGTCTACGTTTGCTCCTCTACCAAGCATTTAGACCATAATGCATAACAGACTCCTTCGTACTTGGTTTGGTAAAATAGCTATACCAATTGAACTCCTACAAAAAAAAAAGGCAAAGAAATCGAATTCAATAAAAAGTAGCTGAAAATTTGGATACTTACGAACTCCTACAAGAAAACAAGGCAAAAAAATGCAAAAATAAACGAAAATAAACTCATAGTCGCCGTTCCGTGAAGAAATCAAACTCTAGGGTAAAGAATGTTGTCGTCTGATGCCGTAAAATATTCTGGGAAGTGGAATAGTCCGAATACTATCACTGCTGCAAAATAAATGAAAAGAAAGTCAAGAAAGTTACAATCACTGTCTGGTGAAGAAATCAAACTCCGGGGTGAAAAATAATCATCGTCAGTGAAGAAATCGAACTCTGGGATGAAGAATGGTCGTCGGTGAAGAAATCAAACTTCAGGGTGAAGAACAATCGTTGTCGGTGAATAACAGTCGCCGGAAAATGGACAAAATATTTTGTGAAGTGGAATATTCTGAGTACTATCGCCGTTACAGCTGTTAGGGTTAGGGTTCGATTGTTCTATGAAAAGTATGGAATTGTAATGAATTGGTTGAGTAAGGGCAAAAATGGTATTTCACAAATAGCTTAGATGATGTTCAAGGGTAAAAGTTTATTTTTACATGTTTTCTGTCTTGATCATTGACGGAAGGGAGGTATTTGTCGATTTTTTCGAAATAGAGGGGGGGGGGGGGCTTTTGCTAAAATAAAAATAAAAGTATAGGTATTTATCACATCAATAAGTCACAATACTGATAACCTAAATCAAGTTTTAAAATTTCACATTGTCTCAATAATGATACACCGATACATGAATCTTTTATCTTTTGATAGGAGTAGGCAGGTCTTAAATTGACCCCCTAATACATTGTATGGGTTTGGTAATGTATCAAACCATATCGGCTGCTGATATATATCGTGTTGTAGGTCACTGCACCGATACACATGAAATGTTAATCTTTTGAGAGGGGTAGACATGTTTTAAATTGACCCCTAATAAATTGTGTGGGGTTCAAAGGATTGATACATCGCTTATGCTGTATTGGTGTGTATTGATATTTTAGATCTTGGCCTAAAGTAATTGGTTAGATTCATATCTTACTTCTAAACTTCTAAGTGCAAAATTTATTTATAGAATAAATCAATGTAGGTAGACGAGATGAGAATTATTGATTGGGCAAATTTCTTAAATTACCCTTTATGAATTAACTAACTCTATCCTTAATATTTATATATTTTCTTAGAGTATCCTTAAGTTTTTTGACAATTGATTAGCTCTACCCCTAGCATTAGTGTCCCTTAATATTCCGTCATAATCCGTGTGCATGTAACATCACGTGACCTATAAATTTTTTTTTAAACCTAATATTACCCTTTTCTTTATACATTTCATGGTTCAAAAGACCTGTTTCCGGTGATTGCAACCTGGGTTGAGTTTGGTGTAGCACCGTCACGGAGATGGAAAAGGTGGTGGTGGTGTTGTCATCGTAAGTTACACCACTACTTTCTAGGGGACTAGGAGGGTGCATCTGAAGTGATTCCTTCACTATGGCTTGAAGGTAAGGTAGAGGTGGTTTTACTATTCACCTTCTCAACACAAAGTGGCAACACCCCCTTTCTTCAGATTTCTCTCTTTTCCCTCCCTCCCTCCCTCCCCCCCCTCTCTCTCTCTCTCTCTTCTTCTTCTTCTTCTTCTTCCTCCATCGGTCTCACCTCCCCTATTTCAGTCTGAGACCACATCGTCGCCGCTGCAACTTTTAGCAGCGATGGTGGTCTATCACGATCCATTTGATATTAGGGGAAGTGGCGGTGCTCAAATTCCTTCTTCCGGGGATTCCCTTTCCATCTGATATCAGAAACCGAGTCATTGTTGCTAATTGTCATGGTCCAATCTCTGCATCATTGAAGTCGTCGCTCTTGGAGATGATCGTGTGTGTCATTGTCGCCATCTCTCATTTTGTCAATGTCGACACTCCATGGCGATTTGGATTACACCATTGACCGTGCTGGTATCAACAGATATGAAGACGAACTCCATTGAGCATTGCATCTCATCAACAACCCATAGCCATAGGTATCGGTCAACTTCTTATCGATCTCCATTAAAAATCATTCGTTCCCTGCCCTCCTCATTTGCTCAAGGAATATGACTGTTAGGGCCTGTTCATTTCCTCTTTAACTCTTATCTCTTAAGAGGAATCTTTTAACTTTAAGAGAAAAATGGTTGTTCATTTCCTCTTATCTCTTATCTCTTAAAGTGCAATTATACAACTTTTTGTTTTCCAATGATACCCCCAAAAAGACAAGCAAAAACTCTCATATATGGGGTCAAAATGGATATTTGATAATTTTCAGAATTCAAAATTCAGAATTCAGAACAACATTTTCTGCATTCAAAGTTCAGAGGAAAGAAAAGTTCACTAATACCAATATACCCCTTAATATAATTATTGCATTTTCAGATGTCAGGCTTTAGAGAAAACGAACAAGCCCTTAGTTCAAACTAAATCACCTCATTTGCTCAGGTCCTCTAAACAAAAATAAATATCTATCAATACACCCATCTCTTTGCTTCGTGTTGTACTCTTTCAAACAAAACTCTCTCTCTCTCTCTCTCTCAAACAATCAATCGACTATACCCTCATCTCATCATCATTGCAACAAAAGAGAGAAAAAGAACTTTGCGAAAAGATTTACAGCTTTTATTTTTGTTTTTTGGCTTTTAAAAGGACTAACCGTTAAAGTTTGTTTATCTTACCTTTTTTTTGCCTCACATCCATAGAATTTGAAGCCGTTGAGAAGATAATCCTCCACTAGGATTCAACCATATCGGAGGAGGGCAGGGAACAAATGATCTTCGATGGAGAACGGGAAGAAGCTAACCAATACCTACAGGATTGTTGATGAGATCCAATGATCTGATAAAGTCCGTCTCCATATCTGTTGATCCCAACAAGGTCAACGGTGCAATCCAGCGCCATGCCCTTCCTTGAAGACCAGTTTCCAAACATATTCATTAGTTGGGTTTTATTTTAAAAATTTGAAGAACAGTGGAGGGTAAATTTGACTTTTTATTTTTCGTTAGCGTTTAATGATAATGTCAATTGTCAGAAACAATAGGGGTACTTTAAGACAATATGTAAACTGTAAGGGTAGATGATGATGCACAATCTGGCCGGTCTTAACTATCGATGATCTTGCCTCTGAACTGAGTAACAGGGACCTGAAACGGAAGGAGAAGAGAAGCTCCGGGGAGAACCCGGCGTAAGGGCTCTGAAGCTCAAGTTAAAATTCTTCAAAGGCAAGAATAACCAGATAGCGCGAAAG